ACATTTTATTATATATTTTATTTACCTAGAAGTTGTTTTTTAACTGATTATAAGAAGCATAGCAAATTTATGTCACTATTTATTTTCTCCTGGATAAAATATGCATTTATTTAGGAAGAAATTTAAATTAAGTAAAATAAAAAAATATTTTTAATTTTTAAAAGGATGCTTAAAATAAAAACATAAAAGTTCTAGCATTTTTTCACTTATTATGCCATACATTTGTAAGTGCATTCTTTGGAGAAATAGCTTTCAGAAGACAAATGTACCCATATTTATATGGAACTTGACACAATTGGTCAAATATTTAACCTGATTTAACATTTAATCAATACAAGATTTTTAAATTATAGCAAATTAAAAAATCATATAATTTTTAATTTTATCTTAGTATTCTCAACAATCTTAGAGCTTAATATTCTCATAGGCATTTTCATTTAAAAGCTAAGATTAAAATAAGTGATTTAAAATAGCTATTTTGTTCTGACACCATAAAATAAACAGAACTTTATTTTTACAAGATTTATTTCACAACCATATAGTTAATAGAAGCATTTTATTACATCAACATTGATATATGCAACAACAGACTTCATGGCAAAGGTGTGTGTTTCAAAATAGGCGGCAATCTTGAAATTCATAATGCTGAATAACTACAAACGTACATTTATTTTAATCAATATAAACCCTATAACATAAAAATTTAAAAAGGTTTGAACCTTTAATAAAAATCTCTGTTTCATTTGGTAATTGATTTTCCATACTGAAAAACTCATTTTTAATGCAAATAACGTTTCTTCTGACTTTGCCCATGCTGCTACCATATCTGATTACTTCTACTCAGAGTGGATTATTTTCTAAAGGAGGCTTTGCAAGCTGAGTGTGTGTGTATAAATGTATTGCAAAGGTTTTAAGGGCAAAAACAGTGTACATATTAAAATGAAGCAAATTTTTCTTCTTTAAAATAATTCACTTTGTTATTTCAAAACTTAAAGCCTGGTCAAAATTTGGATTAATCTCTGAAACAAAACAACAAAACAATTATTTACATCGAGACTTAATTTCTTTTTATTATTATCTTTTTAAACTAACGCAACAACATGTGCTCGGTATCTTTATTTTAATTAAGATTTCTCTATTATATCTTAGCTATCTAGAGAAGTCAGGTCGTCTTCTCCACTCACCTGTTTACACAAAGGTTTTTCACTTCGACTTGCAATTTCGTATTTCCATATAAAATTCGAGAAAGGGTGGAGAAATATAACTACAGAAATAATCGGAAAATTTCAAAACACGGATTTTTCATTATCCTCCAGAATAGAAGATATCATCCAAGGAGTGCTCAAAATCAAAATCAGGTGGCCCTTTCAAAAGTAGAATGTGATGAGCGCTTTTACATTTCACAGATTAAACGTTTCTAAGAGCTTAATGTTTCCTTCGCTTATTGCCACTGTGCCATCTGGCTTTTGTAACTGATGTCCTACCTCTTTGAGGCAGCAGAGGGCGTTCTGGCATTGTTGACACCGGATACCTCCCGGTGCACCGCGCTAGCATCTTGTTCCCAGGAAGGAAATATACTATTTCCCTGGAGGGTTGTCCTTGAGTATCTCAACGGGTCAAGCTGTTCCTAAAGTATTCCGAGAAGCTTTAATTTCAGACCTAGATGAAAGTTGAGATTGTCAAAGGACTCCCACGGCACGCCGCACCGAAGTTCTCCAATTGCGAAGCCTGGGTTGTTTTATTGCAAAACTGCCGCACATAGAATTTCTTTCATAGCAGGAAAATTTGTAATGGGCATCAAACTGGATGATTATTTTCCAAAGAAATAGAAAGTACATAGTTTTAAAAATCTAGAAACATCACAGATTAATAGCCATTCGGTTTCATCTAGGCAACCGAATTACTACATTGTTTCCCTTTTTAAGCAGTATTTTAACCTCTCTCATATCACGTATTTCATTTCTATTTAGAAAGTAATTTTAAACTGATTAAGCCTTCTGAAGGACGAGTTTAGATTTTCCTAAACAGGTAGGATTAGGCTGAGGGGATTAGGTTTGCTCCTGCGAGGTAGTATGAACTCTAACGGAATCAGGCAGGACGATTTTGCAGCCCTGGACCAGCTTTGCGGATTACGCAAGATGTGGATGCAGGAGATCAGCACAATTGGATGAATACTGGAAGGAAAGCAAGGCCGCCATTATAACGAGTAATGCTTTAAATTCATTTCCGCTTCCAACGACTGCTTTTAATTGGCACAAGAGGAATATTCTCAACCCTTTAATTTTGTAATTCGAGCAGCCCCTATTTTCCAGTGTGCTTTACCTACCCACTCCCAAATTGGATAAAATTAAATATAAACCAAAGTAATCGATGAATGTGAAAGACCTGACTTGTAGAGTTCTAAAATTTGAGGACAGATAAAATCTGTCCTGAGGCACGGGATGAGAAGGCAGCTTTCTGAGGATACTGCACCTGGCCACTTTATTTCATGAATTTTATGATATATCTACGTCCTGTGTAAAAAAAAAAATAACTGAATGAACACATATCTTTTAGATCATTGTCAATGCATGGTCCATTGTTATACCTGGATCAAAATCGGTGTTGCTGCCGCTATTGTCCAACCTGAATTATTTTGTCTGTTACTAATTTTAACAGCTTTTATATTTGTGAATTTATAGACAAACTTAAGCAAATGTATAGAAATTTCTTTTAAGAAACAGCCAGCCAGGCTGGCTACGAATTAGTAGATTTTCCGTCTCTCTCTCTCCTTTGCCATTTTGATTCATTACTTAGGGAATTTAAATTTGTATTGTTGGTATTTAATATTTTCAATATCTAAGAACGATGAAATACGCTAAGAAATTTAGATTTTTTAAAAATATATCAATACTGACCCATCCAACCTTCGATTCCTAAGGCGAATTTTCATTGCATAGGATTTAGTAAACTGCCCTGCCTCTTTCCGTCGCGGGAGCTATGAGGATGCGGCTGTGGTCGGTTTTTCCGCAGTGCGGGTTTCAGGCCTCCTGGCCCTCCAGTGCCTCCCTCCGGCAAGGATGAGCCGAGCAGGATCCTGCGCACCGGAGCAGTCTGCAGAGCTCAGCCATCTGTACCCGTCTACTAAGGCTGCCCAGTTACCAAACCTGAACGAAAGTGGCAGCCTGCGTGGGTTCCTGCCCTGTTTCACCTGGTGGGTCCCCGACCCACCCTTTTCTAGTTAAGCCTCGAGGCCCACACTTGAGTCCATTGCACGTCCCTTTGGTGACCAAGTCAGCACTAAAATCCGCGGCTGACAACCTTATGTTTCTGTTTTAAGGAAGATGACTTAAGAAAGAAAAGGATAATAATAAAGCCTTAATTCTCCTCAATTTCCTTCCTGCAATCCTGCTCACTGAAGGATTTACGTTTCAGCCTAAAGTGGAAATTGTTTCCCCATATACGTATACTGAATGTATGTGTGCATTCCTACGTGAAGACCAAAAAGTATCAGGCAAGGGTAGCAACAGCTTGAGGGAACGATTTCAGTAAAATATTGTTTTGCTGTATGTGGCCTTTCTTTCTTTTTAAATGTTATTTTTCAAATTACCTAATATCTTACTCTTCTTTTGAGTAGGGACAGGACGATCCTATTGCTTTTCCAGTTTGATTACGGAGAGAGAAAAGGGTCACGGTCAGCACCGCGGACAGCGCCAGGCAAGGAGGGCGCGGCTACTTTGGTGCATCCTCTTAGCCCCTGTCCTTTGTTCCCAGCCCCTGCAGGCCAAGGCAGAACAAAGACGTCAAGGCTTGCTTTTTCGGCCTGGGCTTTTCTTTGGCTCCAAAGTCGTGGTGTGGAACTACTACCTCAACATAGTCCACCTCACTGGCTTCCAAATAAATTAATTTACCTAGTCCTTCTAAAGTTTCTGACCTGATCCTTTCCCCTTATCCCACTCCTTTGGCCGATTTGGACATTGCGACAATGCCAAAACAAGAGAGTTATCTTGGCCTTTTAAAGCCAAGCATGGACGCCTCGAGATTGGGAAGAGAAAGGGAGAAGTCAAGGGGGAATACGGGCGGCAGGTGTTCTTCAAATCTTTCCAAAGTTTGGTCTTTTCATTTGCGGTTTCTTGCGCAGTGTGGTCAGGACCCTATTAAATGTTACACCTCTCTCTTCCGTTTTGTTTTCCCAGCTTGGCCCAGGACTGCAGACAATCACACTCCCTGTTCTTAAAAGAAACAGTGCTTTCTAAATGATTTAACTCTCTGGAATATTTGCACAGACGGAAACTACTGCTCTCCTGACAGCTGTCAATGAAGCTTCCCTAAAATTCTCCTCGGAGATTTGCCTGCGGATTTCCGCGACTCTAATGGAAAAGTAGAGCCTTTCCCTTTCCGAACACTAGCTTGCTTCTAGAATCCAGTCGGGGTGAGGTAGGGGGACATTTATCGACGAGGATGGGTTCATCCTACCACCCCTAAATTCCTTAACGTGCCTTTTCCCCTTTCTGACCCTACAAAGATGCTTTGGTGTCTTTCAGTGCGGCGCCCCGTAGGCTCATCTTAACTGCATTCACCGCGTTGCCTTAATTATGGCATTAAATCCAAAAGGTCGCTGTGGTACACGAGAGAGCAAACCTCTGGATCTTGATCGGAAAGTATCAGACCCACTGCGACTACCACTCTTTCTCTCCCTACCTCCCCGCTCTGAGTCTACTCCCAGAGTCATAACTCACCCCCCCCCCCCCCCCCCCCCCCCCCCCCCGCTCTGAGTCTCTACTCCCAGAGTCATAACTCATAAGCCCAGCTCCTGTCTCTGCTCATCTCTGACACATCTGCCAGAGCCACTGTTAATTAGTCTCTTCCGTGGAAGTGTAGACGAGTGCGTGTGTCTGCGTATGCATATGCATATATCTCCATGCCATTTACAGCACACGCCTAAAAACATACATACGCCTATAAATCTAGTTTTCAAATGACGGCGTGGATCCAAGTTAATTACCCCTCTGGTACAGATCTAATTTTGTAATAGTGTTATCTTACTGAATGCAATTAACCCAGTTGGTCCGCCCTGAATCCTTTCTAAGGCACTTGTAAGGAATGGCAGGTTTTTAAGGACCACGCCATTGCATGTTCTCCGTCAGAATCGTTGCCAATCATTTTCTGCTGTCAGGGATGAAATCTAGCACATAAAAGAGAAAACAAACATGCCTGTGTGCCTGTAAGATAAACACACAGATATGCCTGGTCTCTGTGTCCTCTGATAACGTTACCGCGGGTTTGGTTGGGAGATTTTGGGAAAAGAGTCCGAGGGCGGGCTGGGTCATCTTTCTTTGTAATGCGGAAAAATTAACTCAACCGCACCTGCCTAGTCCCGAGAGAGCTGGGCGGCCCATCTGGTCTGGCTACGAGTTTGCTGCGGAGAGAAAAGGCTGCTCACTAAAGCTTTCCCACTGCCCGGGAGCGCGGAACTCGGGTCTGGGCCCGGAAGGGCGATTCGGCTCAGGGCAGCGCAGCCGACTCGCACTCCTCAGCCTGTGGCCAGAGTCTGCGGCTGGAAGCGCCTGGGCCAGGCGGAGGGAGGGCGAGCAGGAGAGAGGAAAGGGTGAGGGAAGTTGACCTCTACGGGCGGAGCCCTCTGCGCAGCGGGCAGGAGGCAGCGGGCGCGACGGCTCTTTTCATGGCGTCCCCTACGGCGTGGTCGGCCCGAGGGAAAGGCCCGCTCCCGCTCCAGAGTCCGAGGAAAGGAGAGAAAGCTGAGAGCTGGTCTTGCGCAGAGACCCCAGAATGCGCCCCTGAAAAACAGAATCAAAGCGCAGTGTTAGGGAGGTGGGAGAGAGGAGGGGGAGGGTGGGGAGCAGGGACACGAGGCGGGAGGGAGCACGCGAGGGACACAAGGTGACGAGAGGACAGGACCCCAGTCGGCTGGTCGCGACCTCCGTCCCCAGGCTTCAGGGGGACGCGGAGGGGACCCTGAGCCCAGTGAGCGCGGGGCCCGCAGGCCGTGGGGGAGGGGAGTGGCGCGGTGGCTGTGAATGTAGGTCCGGTCTGCGGAAGTTCCAAAGAGGGTGCACGCGCTGCGGAGACCTCTGAGTCCAGAGAAACGATTTCGGGAGCTGGAGCTGTGAAACGATTTCGCCCGCAGATGGTCCTTCTGTGCAGTTCCAGCCGTTCCCGCATTCTGCACCCCCTTTCCCCAGCCTCACCCCCTCCCTTAGACCACACGCCAGACCCGCACTCTCCAGTCTCCACCCCTCTTGGTTTAGGACCCTGCAAACTGCAAGACCGGCAAGAAAATCGAAAGGATCGATGAGAGAAAGAATTACATGCACCCGTAGCCCCAGAAATCCAGAGCGAGATCTGCTAGCCCTGCTCAAACCTGGAGAGGACCAAAACGTTTTCAATCGCTGCTCAGCGCGTTCGCAGAGGAAAGAAGAGGCTGAGAGGCTTCCGTGGTATAAGGTGCTTTAAGGTGGGAGGTGGGGGTAGGGAGGGGGTGGGTCGGAGCGGTCCGGTCTTTCCCCCTCGCTTGCTGATCCAGAATTAGGGATTAATGGCTCGCTCCAGCCAAACAAATAAGGCATCTGCCTTCAGCACAAGAGGATTACACGGGCTGCTGACGTCACCAGTCAGACAGATGTTGGCTCCCAAAGTCCTGAGCAGCTCGCTGTGTCCTTGAAACCAAAGAGCCGCAGAAGGCTTGCAGCCCCCAATTGCAGAGCCTGGGTACAGCAGAGGGCAAGAGCCCTGCCCTTGCCGACAACCCCTTGGCGTCAACCCAGTGTCCGTAGGCAGCTCCCTAAGACATCGAGCTTCCAGCCTCTCCAAGCGCTCCCTTCGCCATCCTGCTGTCAAAACCCAAGCTCTCTCAAAACAAGCCAAAGTCACCGTTCTCAGTTGCCTCTCCCTAACAAGGAGACAAGCGCCCACAACCAGTCGACACCTTATCTAGATCCCGCATTTAAGCTCTCGGGCTCCTGTTCACTCACACTTGGTTGGCCAAGTAACAGGAAAATAAGCACCTTAGGCCGGACAGAGCCCACGCTCCAGCTGAGGCACCGCCTCTTAATTACGTGCGCAAGCAGCAAAAGCAGAGCTAATCTGCATCTCCTCTTCTCAACCCCGCAGCCTTCCTTCCCCCCAGGCCAAGGTTTAGGTTTATGCTTAATCTTATCACGAATGCCATGCCGGACGAATGTGCCTTTCAAAACAATGACTCTTTGCCAACATAACTCAGCGTCCCAACCAGAGCCCTGGACCACCACTAGGTAAACCACGGGGACCTCACCATGGTCCTGATTAGGACACGGAAAAAATGTCATTGCATATTCTTCTCAAGTACTTTGAATACGTTGTCTAAAAATAAAATATTAAAATAAGTGTGTGTGTTCAAAATATATGTAGCATCTAATTCTAGCAACCTGCACATTCAAAGAACTGCAGTTTCATTTTATAGCCAAAGCTGATGAATAAAGATCAAAAATTACTTTATTTATAAACTCCAAGGTCCTTTTAAATTGACGTAATTTTAACTTAATTATAAACTATTTTAATTTTTCTAACCTGCATTCTGTTTTTGCTTTATATGATTTTCCAGGCCTTTACAGGTCACACTAAAGTCAGGTTATGAAATAAGCCAAAAGACACATCAAACTAGAAATTTAAATGAGCAATTTTGAATAAGTTATGTAATCCACAAATGAAATTGTTTTAAATGAATTTTAATTCTGTAAAGGAGTAAAGACTATTCAAACAATGTATAAAACAAAATAAGCTGATCTCCAGCACAGAGGCACACTGAACCAATCCTGTGCCCCAAATCTAATCGGTATATATGAAAAAATCTGTGACTTTCTTGGAAAAAAAAAAATGCTTGCTCACAACATTGCACTGTCAGTTATAGAGTACAATGCCTACAAAGGGGTAAAAGGAATAGCTGGATTATATCTCCATTCATATTATTCCTGTCTATCAAAGTGGCATTTAATTTTCCCAATTTTATGCATTTAGAAATTCAGTCACTGATAAAAATCAATTTAATTTTCTGTAGTGTCATTCAGCCAATGCCAGTCTGAAATAGTAAAATTTCTCTATCCTCATTCTGTTTCAAGGCCTTATGAAAAACATTCTACATCTAAAAATGATAGATTTAAATTTTATATGTACCAGTACGAAAAGGTGGGCTTTATCTTATTTTAATTGGATAAATAATATATAGTATTCAAGGCAGGATAAAAACTGAACATATAATCATTGTTTCTTTGAAACTTGGTAGAATAAGTTTGAAATGCCACATTTTACCAGTCTAAAATTCCTTTTAAAGACCAAAAAGATTATGTTTGACTTCTAACATGCTTTGAATGTAAACTTCCACTCAGGTCTCAACATTTTATTAGAGTCCTTTTTGCTCAGTGATTTAATATTAGTTCGCTGTCCATGGTCTTGATCCACATGAAAGGATATGCTAGTGTTACCTTTTGAAAAATGAAAGTCACAACGCTTCTGCACAAATTAGACTCCCTAGCATTTTAAAATGATATCAAAAGGGGGAAACGCTATAGGCTTTAAGTTCTCTTCCCCATCCCAGTTGTTTTCATTTTTCTATATTTGCCACCAAATTGAACGTACAGGAAGCAGATAGGGAAAGTTTGCATTTCATTATTTTTGAGTTGACAAAACCACCACTCCATTGAAAGATCCAAATAATTGTAGTAAATAGGAAATAACATCTTTCAACCTGCAATATTCTTTTGACGGTTTTCAAAAGAGAAATAGACATTCTTGTATAGGCATCCTTTTCCACTTTTACATATGGTTTAACAAGTGCGGAAAAATTACAAAAATGACAAATTCAGGGGTAAAAGCCAAACAACCTTTTCAATCATTTCTCTCTCCATATTTACATCGCCATATAGAGGCATATAGATAGCACACACACACACACACACACACGCTAAGAGCATTAAACTAAATCCATCTCTAACGCCTTACATTTTTTTTTTTTCTAGCAAAGCATATGTTCCAGTGGCTAAGATGAGGAATAATTCTTCCATCCAAAATAGCATTTCATCTTCAGTTTAAAAAACAAAAGACTGACCCGGCAGAGTAACATTTAACATCTCTTGGGGTTTCCTTGAGGGGGAGAAAGGAGAAAGGGAAAGAAATATTCCCTCTTTCAAAAATGTAATTGTCTTTCGTTTTTTATTTTCTCCTTCACATTATCAGGAAAAATATGTTTTATATATGTATGTATATATGCCTATTTAAATAGGCACTTATTTTCCCAAACCCCAAGAGCCGCTGTTGATCTTTGGAGGACAGCAATCAGCACAAACCGGTCATATCTGTGCTTTGATACAAGTATCCCAACAGTAAGAAAACAGGCCCTTGGTTTTAAACTGAGGTCGGCACCCACGCCAGGCCAGGGGCCGAGCCTCAGCGATTCACACTTTCCTGGGCGTGAGAAGGCTACTTTCTGAAGAAGTATTTCGAACTTGGGAAAATTCTAGTACCGGAAGAAAATGGCCTAAACACAATAGGACTCGCCATTTTCTCCTTGTGAAGCACAAAGCGCTTGGCGCTGCCCGCCACACAAAGAAAGCCTGGGCCCGCGGAATTCTTGCACATTTTCAAGAGGCCAAAAAATACCTTCTCAGAACCACAATTTCTCCCTCCTGGGTGCCGTGAGACACACCCTCTCTCCCACCTTCATTCAGTCCTGGTCCCAAGAAGATCCCTTATTTGAGATGGAGATAAAAGACGCACCGAAGGCGCGATGCTGGCGTGCGAGCCAACCTCGGCAAGAATAAGTCCTGAAAACCGAGGGGCCCGACCCGCGGCTGGCCGGGGCTCCATTCTAGGCCCGGGATGGGGGAACACGGGTACCCTCCCTCCTCTTCAGATCCCTCCTTCCAATTCCATTCTGTCCCCCAAGTGCGTCTGGGAGCCCGGCGAGCTTAGGGATCTCTGTGACCTGATTTCCATCCATTGCCAGGAACCAACCTTACAGCCCCGAGCTGAGCCGGCAGCTCTCAAGGATGCTCGCGACGCGGGAACTCCTCCACTCAGCGCCTCCCGCCGCCCCCCGCCCGCCACCCCAAGTCACCGCATCAAAGTCAACCAGGATCGTGTTCTGCACGCCCACAACCGGCGAAATGCTTCTCCCGCTCACATGCGAAAAGTGCAAGCTTCGAAGAAGCCCCTGTGAACCAAAACACAAGCAACAACCCGACTCACAAAGCGAACACTCCCAGCCCAGCCCGGGACGCAGAGCCCGGCTACAGCAGGAAAGGATGGTACTTACAGCCGGCGTGCGCTCGGGTAATCCGCGTCGCAGCCCGTGCGGTGGGTTAGTTGGCTTTTGAAAAAATCACTACACACCTCTACATCTTTGATTTTACACATTTTCCACCGGTGAGAAGGAACGAAAACAAGAATCTTGTAGCCTAGTGGGAATGGGGGAGGGGGATGGAGATTTTCATTGTCTACGCTCGGCACACGCAGCCCAAGGAAAGATGCTCACTGCCTTTGGAGCTCCTTCTACTTTCTGCTTGAAATTCAGAAGCTTTCAACGCAGTAAAGCGGGGGTTTGGTCTCCCTCCCTGCCTCCCTCCCTCTGCGTTCTCTCTCTCCTTTCTCTCTCTCTCTCTCTCTCTCTCTCTCTCTCCCCCCCCCCTCTCTCCCTTCCTCCTCCCTCGTCTCCTCTCCCCTCCCTCTCTCTTCTCAAGCTCGAACTCTCTCTCTTTCTCTCTCTCTCTTGCTTTTTTTCAAAAGAGGGCAGGTCGCTTCCTGCATCCCAATGAGTTAAATCAGTCACTTACTTCTCATGCATCAGCAGCCTCTTTAACAACCCGAGGGCTGCAGGCACAAAAGAGCATTTAGCTGCCTCCAATTTGTGTAGAAGGCCTGTCCTTAATTTGTTTTTGGAGTATAATTAAATCATGTATTTCACGTAATATAAAAATACCGAATTCTCAACTTTAGTGAATGAACTGCTAATGGTAACCTTTGAAAATAAATCCCTCTTGTTGATGTTCTTATCAAGGGCCTAGAACGCCCCAGAATTGCAGAAGCCTAAGGTCTGGGCCCCAAACTACCTGCCCCTCCCCACTTTCGCACGTCAAGGTCACAGTCATATGATCCCCCATTGCTTTAAAATGGAGTCTTTTTATCAACCCGTCGCCCTGGAAAGGAATTAAGTCTCTTTTATGGGGTGGGAAGATCTGAAGGATTAATAAATAAATAAATAAATACATCCTTAATCTGAAATACACACGTCAGCAGAATCAAGCCTGATCAGACATTGGGATGGTGGCGTGGGGGGACTGACAGGGCATGTGAGAGTGAGTGGTTTTCCTCTCCCCCTTAACCCCTGGCGAATTTTGAGGTCGCTGGGTTTTGCTTGGGTTTCTTTCAGCGGCTGCGTGGGCCTTCTGGGAGGACAAGGCCGGCGCCTTTTTAGCTCCCAGAGTATCTGAGGGGTTCTGATCTCCCGGACACCGCCCAATGGTCAGGGGGATCCTGTGTATGACTCCCCCTCCTCTAAAGGGGCTGGGGTACAAAGAGCAACTCTGCCTTCCTGCAGTTTCTCTTTCAGGAAGAACTCCAGGCCTGGCCATTGTTCCTCCTCAATGAAGGGGGCTGAGGGTGACAACAGAGAGAGACCTTCTCTTCTCTACACTCACCATCCACCTCCTCCCTCACTCCACCCAAGACCACTGCTGGGGAGAAATTTGGGAATATTTTCTGTTTCAGGAGAAACGCTTGTCTGGAAGATCATGAGATGTAATATCATGAATATCTCGGTTATCTTTGTATTTTCTTCAGTAACATTCCGTTAAGTCGTCAGTGGGCTCCCTCACCCCCTCCCATTTTCCAGTTCTCACAGCGCTTGTTCAGAAACATTGCACTCGCATGCGAGAGAGGTTAGGACCGCAGATAACCGCATTTAGTTTCATCGAAAGGGAATATAACAATATAACTCACCACTTCCCGCCTCTGAATATTCGCTCTTCTACCCTAAATCACCCTGGGGTTTTGAGTAAGGCCACATTTCACCTTGAGCATTTATCAAACCGTACTTGACTGCTGCTGCTACTGCAGGAGGACGCACAGGCCGCGAACACCCACCTGACATCTGCTTGAAATATCCAACAATATTTCCAACGGGGTCGTTTGCAAAAAGCAGAAAACCAAAAATGAAAGAAGAATTAAAAAAAAATACAGAAATAATATAAGTGTGTGTATAATATAATCCCATGGTGTTGGGGTTGGGGGCTCCAATTACCTAAGACAAAACATCTCTGCGGTTGAGCCCAGACCAAAGGCCTCACCGCAAGGGTGTTTTATTAGCGGCGAGAGACCACGGTTTTTAGGAGGCACTACAAGAAATGCGCATCACCCCGCTGCCCTTTATCTCCCATCCATGATTCTCATTCTATCCGTTTCCAGTTTATTGACCTGGGATGCGGGACTGCTAAAGATCGTCAACGACTTGCTGAGCCTAGGGGAGGCAAAGTCACGCGGTGCGCACTGGGTCCCGCCGCTGGGAAGGTGCGGCTCTCTGCTCTGGTTAGCAGCAGAATCGGCTCTGTGGGGTGACGACTTCAGACCACCCCGGGTAGGCACTTTACCCAGCATCCTCCCCTCTCCCCCGACTCTGATAATGCCAGTTTTGCCTCATCTTCAAGGGCCTTGGAATTTCAACCTTGTTGGTGGGGAGGCCTTAGGAACGAACTCAAGCGGTAGGCGCGTTTCCCACGAATGGGCCTCTCCCTCGCCGGCGGCTTATTCTCAGTCGAGGCCTCAAGGGAAAACATGAGAGAGATCACAGGCGAGCACCCCAACATTAGTCTGAGACTTTCACTCCCCCCACCTCAAACAGATGGCTGGGCCGTAACACCTGCACGGCAGCCACAGCCGCCGCCTCCGCGCAGCTCTCGGGATGGGGATCACAGACTCGGGTCCAATAAGGTCACCGGCCACCCTGGGCCCAAATCGCTCAACTCCACCCCACCTCACCCCACCCCCAGCCTTAAGAACCTTTTTCCGGACACTTTTCGCTTTCAATCCCCGCCTGGCGCCCTATGCCTAGGAAAGTGAGCGGGTGATTCCTTTCTAGCGCCAAGTTTCGGGTTTGCCCTGCTCTCAAACCTCCTCCTGCCTTGCGCACCTCGTCGCTCAGGCCTGGAACTTATGAAAATGTAACCCAACTCATTGCCAGAAGTTGTTGCTAATTAGTGGATAATAAACTTCTGTAGCCAGGGCACAAAAGTCTTTTAAAAGTGCAAAGGTGTTCTTTGTTATGGCATCAGAAAAGGGATTAGCATATCAATTGGACTGGGGGGACCGGACAATGAGCCCTCCTCCCCTTGAGCTGCCTTCAGTTCGCCGCCCGCCGCCGCCTCCTCCTCTTTGTGTCCTTCCTCCTCTTCTTCCTCTCGCTGCTCTGAGAGCTGTCAAGGTTTGGTCCGGGAGCTCTGGGCGGCGGGCTGGGACCGAACGGGCAGGCGCAGTGCACGCTTACCGCCGCCCACCAGTCTCCGCGGCCTGCGCGGCGCCCACGTCCACGCCCTCGCCCCTCACTCCACGCCCCTAGCTGGGGGCTCAGCTTAACTCCGCGCCCAGGCGTGCACCTGGAGAAGGTGGAGGCGCGTGGGGACGCCGAGCCAAAGCACAGCTGGTCTGGGCGGCCACAAGGGCGTGGACGAGGCCTGCCTGGGAGGGCGGCCTCGCACTGTCCCACGAGGCGCCCCCTCTCAATACTTGCGGCCCGGGCCCCGCAAGCCGGCGCTCTTCGCCTCCCCCAGGTGCGCAAAACACTAACCGATTTGGAGTGGTCTGGCCAAGGACACAGCCAGCTCCCCACCCTCCTCCGGCCTCCACGCCAGACCTGCTGGGCTGGCGACCCACGCTTGCATGCGTTGCGGGGAAGTAAAGACACTTAGGCCCGAGGCAACTGTTTCCTCGGGAGCTGTGGGTCGGTTCGGGTGGTCCCGCATCAAGGTGCCTGCCAAGGCGAGGCGGCTGGAGCGGCCCAGGCCCAAGCAGGCCTGGTTGTCTCCCCGCGACCCCGCCTCGCCCTGCTGCCGCCACCGGCACCCCCTGCCCCAAGCCAGTCCTGCGGAAGTCGGCTCCTCGGGCCCAGGCACAAATTAGAAAGCTTGCCCCGGGCCAGGTGCAGGAAAGCAAAGCATAAGTAAGTCTCGGGACTGAGATGCGGCCCTGGCGGGCAGGGCCTCGGCAACCATTCCCGCCGCGATCTTGCCCGGCTGCGTCCGCCCAGGAGCGCAGGGTAGAGGCGCTGGTGTCTGCGGGGCCGCCCAGGGCTCGGGGAGCGGAGGAGCAGGGAAAGGCTCGGGGGAGGAAGGTGAAAGGGGGACCCTGGCAGCGACGGCGCGCTCTGCCCGCCTGCGGACTAGCCAGACCCGCCACTTCCTAGCCGGCCGCGAGTAGCTGCGGACCGGGCCGACTGTCCTTTGGCCGCGAAGCCCGCGCCACCCCGGCAACGCCGGCGAAGAAACGCGCTCCTTCCTTTTTCTTCTCCCCTCCCCCCTTCCCCTTTATCCCTAGAGGCAGCTCCCGTCCTCTAAATGAGTTTAAAAAAAAAAGGAAAAAAAAAAAAAAAAGAAGAAGAAGAAAAAGGAAATCTCTGGGGCTATCCTTTTTCTACTCGTCTCGCCTCCTCCTAACACTGGTGTTGGTCGATCAAGCGCCAAACTCACACAAGTTTCCCCGAAAACGAACAGCTTTAAATGCCGGGAGGGAAAATATCGGGGGAAAAAGTGGACGTCGGTGTTTCCCTAAATGCAAAACATCAGAGAGGAATCTGAAAAGAGCTTTACTTTCCCTGCGAAATCTCCATTGTTGCTCAGCAAACAATGGGAGCCTGGGCGACTGGAGGGCTGTGCGAATGAATAGGCGATCCGCGGGATGTGTGCGGGTCAGTGCCTGGGGTCCCGGGCCTAAAGCCCCTTTCTCAGCTTGCCACAATAAACCAGCGCAAGGTTTAGTCCTTACTGGGTCACCGGCCATCCTCTATTATTCAACACTTCACAACAAAAAAACACTTATTAATCAGCGCTGACCAGAGGCCCCTTTTGAAACAAGAGAAGAGGGGAGAGAGAGAGAGGGAGTGAGAGAGAGAGGGGTGAAAAGAAGATTGAGAAGCCCTGGACAGATCTTTCTAAAGCCAGAGCAACCATGGGGTACTTTCCTCCAGTGGCCAAAGTTTATTTGACACAACAAAGTTTCTAATCAGGCCACGGAGACCTGGATTTCTCCTCATTTGCCTCACTCCCGGTCTCTTCCTCTGAAGATGCTGGAGACTTTGTTGCAAGAAAGGATGGCTTTAGGTCATATTGCTGAGGCCTGATCTTAAAGATCTAATTGCTATTGGAAGAGAATCCTGTTTCCCAACTGGGCCTGCCCTCTGGAGATGGAGCAAGGAAGACTGTCCACCTCTGCTCTGGGCACCCTGCTGATGGATGAGGTGTCAGGCCAGTCGTCATGTGAGGACTGGTTTCCAAATGGTATGAGCAGTAGTCAAATGCGGTACTTATTGGTGATACTGAATGCAATCTGTAGATTTTCTGCTTCATGTTGTTTCAGGCCAGATATATGAAAAGACTAAACT